ACAGGTGAGGGGTTGACAGGTGTGTGATAAGAAAGGGTGGGAGAAGTTAATAGGAGGGTACAGGCAGAGGAGGTGAGGTGAGAAGCACAGGTGTGGTGGAGGCACAGGTGCAAGAGGGGCAGTGAGGGTACAGGTGTGTGAGGTACAGGTGTGTGAGGGGTACAGGTGTGTGAGGTACAGGTGTGAGAGGTACAGGTGTGAGAGGTACAGGTGTGAGAGGTACAGGTGTGAGAGGTACAGGTGTGTGGGGTACAGAAATGAGAGGTACAGTTGTGTGGGGTACAGATACAAATATTAGCGTACTTATGATTGGTCGTTTGATATCCATTGTTGACTGAGAGTTAATTGGGTCGTTAAATTGGACTTAGTTAGTTAGGGAGGTGATTATGTAGTTGTGTTAATTATGGGTGTAATTCTGTTTGTTTGTTTGGTTGTTTGTTTTTTGCTTTAATTTGCCTGTTTGTTTATCTATTGTTAGTGCCAATTCTCTCTGTATGTCTGTCTGTCTATCTATCTATTTATCTATCCATGTAAACGTCCCCTTTACTTCAACACACACACACACACACCCCCACACACACACCCCACACACACACACACCCCACACACACACCACACACACCCCACACACACCCCACACACACACACCCCACACACCACACACACACACACACACACACACCCCACACACACACAACCCCAAACACACACACCCCAAACACACACACCCCACACACACACCCCCCCCACACACACACACCCCACACACACACACACACACACACCCCCACACACACCCCCACACACCCCACACACACACACACCCCCCCACACACACACCCCACACACACACACACACCCCACACACACCCCACACACACACACACACACACCACACACACACACACACCCCACACACACACACCCCACACACACAACCCCACACACACACACCCACACACACACCCCACACACACACACCCCACACACACACACCCCACACACACACCCCACACACACACCCACACACACACACCCCACACACACACCCCACACACACACACACCCCACACACACACACCCCACACACACACACATCTCGAATGATTTTAGTAATGGACGACTGTAATGAAGTAGAAAAATAACAATATTTAATAAGAGGGAAATTAATACGTGTTTTGTAATTAATGTAATGGCGGAAACTTTACACTAATGGATGGAGAGTAGAGCGAGAAATAGAGTGAGAATAATACGAAGGAAACTGGTGGGTCTGTCTGTCTGTCTGTTCACCCATCTATACCTCTATTGATTTTTCATTTCCCATCTCTCTATCTCTCTCTGTCTATCTGTTTCTCTCCTTCCATCCCATTTACTTATTTATTCTCTCTCTCTCTCTCTCTCTCTCTCTCTCTCTCCCTCGTGTAAACACCCAACACCACCTCACCAGACTATGTGATTCAAGGGTAAACAATAGGACATTTTTCACACTCTTCCTAAGGCCCTGGTAGTCGATGCTCTCCTTACTCACACACTCTAGTTGGGGTTTGTTATGGTGGTGGGGTGTGTTAGAGGCTTTTGTTAAGAGTGTGTGAGTGTGTAAATATGGATATATGAGAGAGAGAGAGAGAGAGAGAGAGAGAGAGAGAGGGTAAGGGGGGGTGGAAAGATGGAGAGAAGAAATGAGGAGAGGAGGAAAAGAGGACAGAAGGAGTGGAGGAAGGGAAGGAGAGGAGGAAAGAGAATAAAAGGGAGGGAAGGAAAGGAGGAAGGAGGAAACGAGAGACAGGAGGGAGGGGAAAACTCCACCACCGTCTTACAATATTTACCATTACATCATCAAAGAAAACGGCCCACTCTCTACCAGGGTTCACCGTGACGTCATAGTTAGTTGCCAATGTGTTTATTTTACGATGATATAAAACTTTTTTTTTAATAATGTGAGGAATATTATCATTTTTTTTATGGCTATTACTTGTTATTTAGATTAAACTGATATATATTACCTTTTTATAAACTTAAGGTGAGGAAGCATTAGTAAATTAAGCTGTTTGGGGTAACTTCTTGGCTCATAAGCTGACAAGAGACGAGGAAAAGCTGCGTAACCGTGAGAGAATTAGCCCAAAAAAAAGACGTCACTGACATAATGACGTCATAGATGCAGTCCTAATGACGTCATAGATTCTACGACATTGCTTTCTCAGTGACGTCATTGATAGTATTGCCATTCATCTGGATTTTATTTTTTTCAGAGATTTAATAATTTTGTGCTATTAATATTTTACTACATTTTCTTACGAGTCTCAATAAATTAAAAATAAAAAAAAAATATTAAATACTAACAAATAATTTAGTTGTAGTGTTTAATTATCCAAGAAAATATGGCAACTAAACTACGTCACGACCTTGAAAGTTGCCATATTGTCCTTTCTTGACCATAATATTGAAACCAATTCCATTTCTCAGTCGTTTTGTCCTATAATCTCCGCCCCTGAATAAAATTACTATTTGGTGAGGTGAGGTGAGGTGAGGTGAGGTGAGGTGAGGTAAGGTGAGGTGAGGTGAGGTGAGGTGAGGTGAGGCAAGCGTTCTTACCTCAATAGTTAAAAGGAAAACTTGACTCAAGAGCATCTCATCACTCAAGTGTTTACCTTCCACGAACCTCCTCCTTATCTCTCTAGTTAGTGTTAGGTTAGGTTGGATTAGGTTAGGTTAGGTTAGTGTAAGGTTATTGTTAGGTTATGTTAGGTTATTGTTAGATTAGGTTAGGTTAGGTTAGGTTAGTGTAAGGTTATTGTTAGGTTATGTTAGGTTATGTTAGGTTAGTGTTAGATTAGGTTAGGTTAGGTTAGGTTAGTGTAAGGTTATTGTTAGGTTATGTTAGGTTATTGTTAGATTATTGTTAGGTTAGTGTTAGGTTATGTTAGGTTATTGTTGGATTAGGTTAGTGTTAGATTAGGTTAGGTTAGTGTTAGGTTGTTACGTTAGGTTAGGTTAGGTTGTTACGTTAGGTTGTTAGGTAAGGTTAAGCGTGTGATGAAGCAACAGAGAAAAGGTTTAAGAGTAATTGGAAAAATGAGCGACACGTCAAAGTTTATTCACATTATTTCAAAACAACATCCGGATTACGAGACAAAAAAGGAACAGAGATTTAATAAAGATTTAGATGTAATTATTATTACGAAAACACTTTATAATATTTGTTCTTCATCCCTCTAGTGAATATAAGGTTAGGTTAGTGTTAGGTTAGTGTTAGGTTAGTGTTAGGTAAGTGTTAGGTTAGTGTTAGGTTAGGTTAGTGTTAGGTTAGTGTTAGGTTATGTTAGGTTATTGTTAGGTTAGTGTTAGGTTATGTTAGGTTATTGTTGGATTAGGTTAGTGTTAGATTAGGTTAGGTTAGTGTTAGGTTGTTAGGTTAGGTTAGGTTGTTAGGTAAGGTTAAGCGTGTGATGAAGCAACAGAGAAAAGGTTTAAGAGTAATTGGAAAATGAGCGACACGTCAAAGTTTATTCACATTATTTCAAAACAACATCCGGATTACGAGACAAAAAAGGAACAGAGATTTAATAAAGATTTAGATGTTATTAATATTACGAAAACACTTTATCATATTTGTTCTTCATCCCTCTAGTGAATATAAGGTTAGGTTAGTGTTAGGTTAGTGTTAGATAAGTGTTAGGTTAGTGTTAGGTTAGGTTAGTGTTAGGTTAGTGTTAGGTTAGTGTTAGGTAAGTGTTAGGTTAGTGTTAGGTTAGTGTTAGGTTAGGTTAGTGTTAGGTTAGTGTTAGGTTAGCTTTGGTTAGGTTAGCTTTGGTTAGGTTAGTGTTAGGTTAGCTTTGGTTAGGTTAGGTTAAGTTTATAGAAAAAAGGTGTTGAACTCTTATGTTGTGGGGAATTACGTCATCCATTACATTAAGTAGCATTCGAGTCTAAATTAAATAGCTTTGTAGTCTCTCTGAAGTGATATTTACACATACATAATAATAATAATAATAATAATAATAATAATAATAATAACAATAATAATAATATTAATGATAATAATGGTTGCCCCTCGTGTAACGAGGATAGCTAGCCCTAGGGCCACCTAGGCTTTAATGTGTTTACCGTGTGGAAGCTGTCACCAACACAACAACCACACCCTGAGTTAACGAGCTGCATGACCCATTGTCAAGGAATAGTCCGAGAAAACCGGACAACTCGCCAACTGCACTGGCTAACCATTACCCCGGAATACGATCCACAAATTGATTAACATCCAGGTCCCCAATTACTGTTGGGTAGACAGAGGCAAATGACGTAAAGTAACTAGCCCATAGTTTCACCCTGCCCAGGGATCGAACCCGGGTCCGCTCGCTTGTTAGGAGACCATGATGATCATTACACCACATACTTAAATACATACATACATACATACATGCATACATACATATATACATACATACACACACAGGATATTACTGAACACTAACCTGAGGAACTCTCAGATAACTGTAAGAGAGCCATCTTACTCAACACTTCCGCTACACTCCCCACCTTTGTGGTTCTCTCGCTATTGGTGGATTATCTCAGTGGTTGAATATCAGTAGTGTCGTGTGTTTTGGTCTGTGTTGATTGTCTTTTGTTTTTATTTCGTTTTTTCGGGATTTATTAACAGAATGGGGTTTGGTCTTCCGGGAGGGGGCGGAGCCAAGGATGAAACCTTGGGCGGAGCTAACAGATGACTCACCGTGACGTCATGATTTCGATGCCACAAGTTTCCAGATGACATGATTAAATATATTTATTGGGCTGTTTAAAATGTTACATAACTTACAGTAATTTATCAATAATTTTGTAATATAAGTTTCTTCTTTAAATGGAGGTTATATATAAGTATGCAAAATAACTGTCAGTAGGAAAATTAAATTAAAACTGAATAGGCACCTCGCTACTTTCCTAGTACCCACGCTACGTCATCATACCTCATTCTCCCCATTCAGAAATTTACTCAGTAACTCGAAGACAGTTCGTGTGGGAGGTTGTGTCTAAATCCTCTCCACAATATCGCTCTAATCACCTTCCCTCGGGTGATTCAACCCCAATAAACCACCAAACTAAAGTGTAAACACCCCGCTCATACTGTGAAACAAACCAAGTGGTGAATATAAACCAGAAAAAGAAATAACCGACCATCAGCATTAATTTACGGAACCTCGACAGATACTTAATAAACAACTATGGCGGACAGTGATGCAGAGTGGGTGGGAGTTGACTTTGGTAAGTAAACACAGCATCATTTACCTGTCATATATAAACAAATAAACGTAAACTGAATGAAATATATAAGTTATAAAAAAAAGGTGAACTCTGTGTCTGTTACCGTGTGTGTCAAGGAAGATGGAATTTGAAGGACAGGGCATGTGTGTGTGTGTGTGTGTGTGTGTGTGTGTGCGTGTGGTTAAGAGAAGAAGAATTACATATATTAGCGACTCTTGGTACATTGTGTGCGTGTGTGTGGTTGAGTGTGGAGAAATTACTTATATTAAGAAATTGTGTACTGTGTGCATTTTAGTATACAGTATGTGTGTGTGTGTGTGTATGTATGTGTGTGTGTGTGCGTGTGTGGTTAAGGAAGAAGAACTTATACATATGAAGGAGTGATGCGTTATGTATGTTTTCATGGCTGTGTATGTATTGAGTGTACGTGTCTGTGTGTCTGTAGGTGGAGTGGACAGAGGCGAGTGTAGTGATGACGCACACCATTAAAATGTTGTATCCTGAGGCAGTCCGGTCTCCTTTGTGACTGTTCCTGTTTACCTAATGACTAAATAATAATAATAAAACAAATAATAGTAATAATAATACAAATAATAGTAATAGTAATAATAATAGTGAGGGAACCTTTATACATTTATTCTAATTTTATTCAATTTGTCGTAGCTTTCCGGTCCTGTGTGTGTGTTATTCCTCGTTTTATTGGTGTTGTATTAATGTGTTGTGTTATAGTCATTCAAAGGGTTAAACCATCGTACTCTAGGGGTTAAACCATCGTGCGCTAGGGGTTAAACCATCGTGCGCTAGGGGTTAAACCATCGTACGCTAGGGGTTAAACCATCGTGCGCTAGGGGTTAAACCATCGTACGCTAGGGGTTAAACCATCGTGCGCTAGGGGTTAAACCATCGTACGCTAGGGGTTAAACCATCGTGCGCTAGGGGTTAAACCATCGTACTCAAGGGGTTAAACCATCGTACATTTCTACATATTTAAATTACCACACACTAAAACCAAACCCACTAACGTACTCAAATGACATCAACTCACCGTACTCAAAACACCAACATCTTGCTTTACACCTCGTACTCAGTATACACCACCTCCTCAAGTACTACCTCAGCCATCCTTCTTAGTACTCAGGATTACAAGGACTCACGTATAAACAGTCACTCGGAAGGTGAATCAGTGGAGAGACAGTGAGTATTCAAGGTGGTTCCAGGAATGTGTGTTGCTTGAGTCACTTAAGTCTTCCAAAAGGAAATAATATGATGTTGGTGAGATGATGTACCGTGTGTCTGGTTACGGTAAAAGTCTCAGTGTTTTGATGTTAGTTATAAAAGGTTTTTGTTGTGTATGTTGAACCTAACCTAACCTAACCTCGTCAATATTTAACCTCCATCTGTCATGAGCTAATTTAATCAACACCTGACCTTACTTTACCTAACCTAACCTACAACTTGACCCTAACCAAACGTAACCTAACCTACACTTGACCCAAACCAAACCTACACTAAACCTAACCTAGCACCATATCTCCCTCAACAGAATTCGGCAAACCAGACACGTCACCCACCACAGCCCGCCCACAACCCACTCTACGCCCTACAATACGCCCACAGCCACCACCCCCACCCCGTCCTACCCCCCAGCCACGCCCACCCGCCATAGAGCCGCCACAGGACGCCTCAGAGATGGACGGAAGAGTCAACCCGAAGACAAATAGTGTGGGCATAGTGGCTGGGTCTGTGGGAGGAGTCCTGGGCGTGCTGATGATCCTGTTGGTGGTGTACATGTTGGTGCTGCGTCGAAAGCTGTCCAAGGTGAGTGTGGTGGGGTGGGGGAGTGTGTGAGGGAGTGTGGTGGGGTGGGGGAGTGTGTGAGGGTAGGGGTGGGGTGGGGGAGGGAGTGGTGGGGGTGGGGGAGGTGTGGGGTGGGGGGAGGGGGGGTGGGGAGTGGAGGGAGTGTGGTGGGGTGGGGTGGGGGAGTGTGGTGGGGTGGGGGAGTGTGTGAGGGAGTGTGGTGGGGTGGGGGAGTGTGTGGTGGACAGAGGGAGTGAGACTGTAAAAGGGAGAGAGTGTGTGAGTATGGTGGAGTAGAGAGAGTGGGAAGGAAGGTTGGAGTGATGAGGAATTGGAGGACAAAAACAGAAACAAACACACACGCAAACAAACAAAAACAAGGAAGAGAGAGCTAAAGTAAACAAAACAACAAGGTGGTTTCAAAGGTCACATCCAAAAGGTCAAAGCTGAGACATGGCCCACTCATCATTGGCAACCGGGGCGCCGATGGTAGAGCGGTACCGCTCTTGCCTCGCAAGCTAGATGTCACGGGTTTGATTCCCGGGCTGGTGGAAAGTTGTTTGGACACACTTCCTAGCCCCCATTGGTCCCTGTTCACCTAGCAGTAATGTAGGTACCTGGTGTAAATCGAAAACTTGCGAATTCGTATTCAGGGAAAGTTGTTGGAGCTTCCAATAACTAACTGACAAAAACCTATGACCCGTCAGGCTTCTACGCCCTTGACAAAAAAACCTATGACCCGTCAGGCTTCTACGCCCTTAACTCATGAGACATAAAGGCAAGCATGAACTTAGCATGCTTCCCAGATGGACGCTGTAAGCGCTTCTGCGCTTCACCTTGCACAGGATGTAAGGGAGTGCCCAATAAACTAGCCCCCTCGGGGGCAATATAAATCATATTCTGGGGTTACCCCTCGACTTCCCTAACTAGCATAGCCCCCCCTCCCTTCCCCCTACGTTTTCTATGGTTTCCTTAAATTTTCCCCCAGAAAACGAAAACTGTGTTGCAGGGTTTTTAATTCTTATAGTAAACAAAGTTTTTTATAGAGGCTTAAAGTGTGTGTGTTTGTGTCAGTATAGGTGCTTGTATATAATTATGTATTCATTGTGTATGTATATTACTGTAATATATGAGTATGTATACATGTTTGTGGTTAAATTAAACTCCTGTATTAAGACGAACCTAACCTCGACCTCGACAGGCTAAGGACTCCGGGAAGGCCTCCAAGTACCAGCTGAGAGTGGAAGACGTCTCACACATCACCAACCTGGACGAGACCTCCAACACCTACGTCAACACCACCGACCTGCAGAAGCTAGTCGCCTCCGTCAGGGCCAAAGGCAAGTCCGCTGACAGGGTTCCTCTACCTCCTAAGACCCAGCAACAGACCCCTAAACCCTGTAGGCCCTTACCTGTGGATCAGGGTTCAGGCACTACTCCCCGCGGTGGCCATGTGGAGAACAGTGGATACAAAGGTTCGGGAGATGTGGTTGTGGTGAGGCCGCCTGCTCCTGCTCCACACAAGTCTCCTGTCTCTCCGCTGGTCAGTGTTGAGGCGTCTGAACCGGATGTTATATACTGTAACCTGGACCCTACTGTACCTCCCCCACTCCCCTCCCCGGCACCTAACACCACCACCACCGTCCCACCGTCACGCAGCACCAGGGTAGAGGCGCCCAAGATAGCACCACCGCCGCCCCCAGCCCAGCTGAAGAATAGAGTCGCGTTAAATCAGAGCGGAAGTAACCCCCCGCTCTCCCCTACAGCCATCGCCAGGCCTGCCCCTCCACCGCCCACTGTGGGGAAGACTCGGCCCCAACAAGCTGCTGTTATTACGCCCAGCGCTTTACACCCGCCCAGTGCCCCACACACTAAGAAACCCACACCTCCACCTGTGGCTTTGAAACCCAACAAGGTGGTGGAGTCGGCCCCAGCTGGCCCTGCACCCACAATCCCCAAGCCAACACCGCCAACCCTGCCCAAGCCCGGGGTCCTCAAGAAAGGGAAAGGCCTCCCGCCCCTCAAGATGGCCCTCCTCCCCTCCCTCACCAGAACCTCGCTGGACAACGCCAGCACGCCTGACACAGCCATCTTCGAGCTGACGCCAGATTCGACACCCACGGCTGACGACGGCACAGGACCTGGGTCTATCAGCGCCAAAATCGCTTTCCTGGAGGGCAAGATGAAGACCCCAGGAAACCCCAGCCGACCCGCGGGGCCCCGGACGTGAGCCCCGGCATGGCCTCCACTGGTCACTGTCAGTATTAATAGCACTGGTCACCGCCACCCCTCAGCGTCGCGCCGGCAGGTACAGTAGTTTAACAGTTATCAACATCGCCAGAGACCTGCCTCACCCGGACCACGGAACAGTCAAGGGTGACCTGACGTGTAAACACATCAGTCAGTGTTATTGACTCGCCAAACATGAATAAGTTCCCCCCAGAGTCGAACCTTGGACTTTGTGTCTTTAAGAAGAGTGTATTCACCCAACACCGCCGGAAATCCTGAGTATTGTAGCGTTCCTCGACCTACTGCACAAGTGGTCAGGAAGACACTACCTAGACAAAGTGATGACCACACACACACCTACAGACGGAGGTTGTTTCGTGGTAGGTGATGTGGTAGTCGGTGAGGCGAGGCAGGATGGGTCGCAGGACTTTAATCAAAGCGACCCTGACTCACTTCCCTCCTCTAGGAGCGTCACCGGCCTCCCTGGGGCTTCCCGACCTCCAGGGGCTGTGCGTGACGTGCTGACCCCCAACCCCCCTCACCACAGATCATAAGTGTATTGTCATGTCTGTGTTAGTCGCTTGTTTTTAGATCTGCTGAAACGAGTGTGTGTGTGTCAGCAAATTAAGTCAAAACTCACAATCTCAGTTAAATTTGTTCAAGGAAAACCATAAACAGTCACGCATGGATCATCAGCCGAGTACAGGTCTCACTATGTACTCAGCCAAAGTCACATCGTTGTTGTAGCCAAGTGTATATATTAGCTTGTGAGTCCATTCTGGTCTATTATACTGTATATATTTATTTCATGTATATTGATGATGTATATTGGTGTTTGTGTATATATATATATTTTATACAAGATCTATATAGTGTTTCCATCCTCGCCCAAGACCATCATTGTTTTCTTAATTCAATGATAATCTGTGATATGATTATTGTTTAATTATTCGAATTATTAAAAACAAAATTTCTTTTAACTGCAGGTGGTAGAATGCACTTAACTGATGCTAAAACAGTAAAATAACGTTAAACAATGGAAGTAATTATGATATGTAACTGAAACGATAGAGTTGGCAAGCGAGATCAACAACTTAAAATGTAGGAGATAAAACTCGTCAAGCCGACACAAGTACCAACACAACAGTAGACGTTATGACATGGCTACTAACCTTACAGTATTACTTAAGACTTGAGTAACACCACGAGAAGGACAGCTAAACTATTTTTTTTAACCAAACAAACCGAACTTAACCTGAATTAATCTAACCGATTTTGAGATAGTTTTGGGTTATATTAGGTTAGGTTGTAGTCATGTAAATTAAATCGTTTCTCCCATTCATATTCTTGATATTTTGTTAATAACTACTGTACTCGACAGCTTGGAATCTTCTAACTATATAAATTTGCTAACTGGTAACGTGACAATAATCTAACTAGGAAGATAATTTAACTACAACGTAAAATCAACAAATAAAATAAAAATTTCTTTATTTTATCTTTAGTTCTTACGAAAATAAAAAAAATAATGACGCCTATAACTGTTAAGAATCCGGGTTGGTGGTAGTGGTGGTGACGATCAGCTGACGAGCGTAAACAATAATTCAATCAGCTGATCCGTGTAAAAACGTTTGACTCAATCACATGACTTACAAAACAACATCTGATCCGTGTAAACACTGACTAAAAAAAAAATCATTATCATTAATTACATACAATGACACAATGCTCTCATCACCATCATCATCATTATCACCGCTACTATTATCTTCTTAAAAAAATTCCTTAGTCGGTAACTTTCAATGTCAAGCACAAACAACAACTTCAAAGGGAAATCCCGTGGAAATAAAAAAAAAATCCCAGCTGTTGCAAGTCTCTGTGTATGAGTCTTGATAATTGAATAGTTCCGAGAATGGGCGAGGATGATGACTCCTCTCCACCGTGTCCAGATAGACAGATAGATAGATATATAGACAGCGAAAAACAGACAGACATATAAACAGACAAACATATATAAAGGCAAAGATAGACAGATAGATAGACAGACATAGATATAAACAGATAGATAGACAGACAGACAGATATCTAGGCCGTGTACATATTAACCTGAGTCTATTTTAAATATTGAAATTGAAACATTTATCTTTTTTTAAGCTCCTCTTGTGTGTTAATGTTACATAATTGAGGTAAAATGTTCATGTTAAATATATGTAAAGAATAAATGTTAATGTTAAAAATATGTAAGAATTGATCTGTGATAAATTAATGTTTATGTTTTTTTACAATACTAGGCTGCAGAGGAACTAGAATTCCTATGTTAAAATTCCCCCTAAAAATTCCTTTGATATGAGAATGTACTGTATATATATATATATATATATTGCTCAATTTAAACCTACTTCTTAGATACAACTTCCAAAATGGCGTCAAACTTAGATAAGACTGTACTGTATGGCAGATTTTTCCTATCACTGAATGGCGAATGTAATTTTGGAAATCGAACCGAAATTTAAAATGACCAATATATTTTTTTTTAATTTAAGAATTTGGACTTTTAATGTGTTTTCGATTTCCAAAGAATATTATTGATTTTTTTCTGAAAATTATGAGATAACTGAATATTATTTGGTGTTTTTTGAGTTTTCTATGATTTTATGATAAAACAGCGTAACACAGGGCATTTTCACGCGCCTAGCTTTGTGCCTTTCAGTGTGATGTGAATGATAAACGCCAGGCGATGTCCAATGCTCAAACTGGCGTTGTATATCTGTTATATATCTTGTCTTATCGTTCAGTAATGATATGAACCAATATAAACCAGATTTGTATTAAATATATTGTATATACTGTACTAGACACTGTGTTATTAAATATACCTTTTTATACTGTTTTACATGTGATTAGTTGTAAGGCAAATCAGCCAATGTAAATAATGATTAATGATATGAATAAGATAAACAATGATCAATAAATGCTGTTTACTCTTCCTGTGGTGGTGGTGATTACGTGTTTACAAGCAAATATATAAATTATTTATTTTCGAATTCATAGAAAAACAGATGAAAACAAGTGACTAAAGCATTTCATAAACCTAATCTAATCTTGTTACGGCAATACCACCTTGTCCTGGCTTACCCTAATCAGCCACGAGGAGCCAAGGGGGATTTAGGAAGTATCACCAGGTCTCATAAGAGGTTACAGGAGGGGGTCTTTGCTAGTCTCTTAAATGATTCCTAAAACCTCACAATCCTGTATCTTCCTTAATATTGCTGAAAGTCATTAAATTTTGATTAATTACGTGAATGAATGTCTTTTCGGGTATACGCAATTTAATGAGCGTAAACAAGATTATATGGCGGGTTTGGAAGTCGTGCCTAAGATGTGATCCCAACCGAGTTCAGTCATCGGCCGGTATTCAGTCCTCAGCCCTGAACTAAAACAGAATTTCAAATTTTTTCACTATAGAATTTTGTTTTAATTGCGTTTATTAAATACCTCATATGTGAAAACTACTACAAATTGTTTCTTGGTTGCTAATGAATGTTAGTGCGATTAAAGAAATATTAAACGATTTTGTTATATTTCTTTCTACTTCTCGTTATATTGCTATTACCGGTACTAGGACATTTTTTTTATTTATTTAAGAGGTAATTAGTAGTTGCAATCTTCACCTTCAAGTTTGTTGATGTATAATTCGGTTGGTAAACGTCCTGAGAAATGGCGTAGGTGACGGCGCTGGTATTGACTCTTCCTAATTCTCACTATAAGTTTTGGTATTTGTTGTAGTTTATATTTTAAAATTACCTAAAATTCACTATGTTAAAATTATAAGCTAAATATTACTGCTTTGTTTATATTAATAGTATCTTACCTTCTGGTAGAGGGGAGTCACCTCTTTCCCTCGCCTTCGTTCTTGGGAAACCTGTTTAAAGTCACATTTCCTTCTTGTCGATAGCTTGAGTAACAACTATACACTCCACAATTACTGGCCATATTCTTATACGTTTATAATATCACTAAAAAGTCACAATTATCAATAGTTATTAAGAAAATCAAGGAAACACGAGCACATTCATATCTATACTTTCAAAAGGGCGCCTGGCTGCTTGGCGCGAGTGAGAGGTCGCTTATTGTCCAATCGTGAGAGCCAAGACTTTATACAATATCACTTAGATTTGTGGTGGCCAGGCGAATTCAGCATTTTCTGTCAAACTAATCATATAACATCGTTTTAATTGATCTAATTAAATTCCTTATACGCTATTAATAATTTTCCTCACCATAGAGCAATTGTTAAGAAGTTTACAGCAACTTCAGTGTCTAAACTTATTTCCTTATTATTGCCATTAATAGTACTACTGTCGTTTCCATATTTGGGTTGAAATAAAATAAATGTTCATAGATCTATCTGCAAGCATAATTTTGTCAATATTATACAGGTATTTCTATTGTGTGAGCAGTTTCTTTAAATTCAGTTGAGTGGTGTTAGGGACGATTTTGGATTGTTATTCTTGTAATCAATAAGGTATGCCGACACAAAATCATCCCTTAATAAGTAATACAAATGGCCTAAATCAGCATATTCCGTCATATAATTGTTGGGGACTAAATTTTTCACTAAATAATACTCTATTTATGCTGGAATTTAGTATTGGCCGAGTCTGGTGTTAATGGACTGAGAGGCAGTATGCTATATGGCTAGACGAATTTCACTGTCTTTCATATTGTTGCTACAACCGAAACTAAAACATCACCACCATCATCATTATCACCATCATCACTTATCACCATCTTCTCACTATTATCATTATGGGCCAAGTTGGGAGTTTGATCTCATTAAACAGTGCCTAAGGATTCCCCAGTACAGTACTCTCCCTGTACACCAAAATGAAATGCAGATAACAGCTAACTTCCACTGATGATGGCCACCGTCCCTACAGCTAACTTCCACTGATGATGGCCACCGTCCCTACAGCTAACTTCCACTGATGATGGCCACCGTCCTACAGCTAACTTCCACTGATGATGGCCACCGTCCCTACAGCTAACTTCCACTGATGATGGCCACCGTCCCTACAGCTAACTTCCACTGATGATGGCCACCGTTCCTACAGCTAACTTCCACTGATGATGGCCACTGTTCCTACAGCTGACTTCCACTGATGATGGCCACTGTTCCTACAGCTAACTTCCAGTGATGATGGCCACTGTTCCTACAGCTAACTTCCAGTGATGATGGCCACCATCCCCACAGCTGACTTCCACTGATGATGGCCACTGTTCCTACAGCTGACTTCCACTGATGATGGCCACTGTTCCTACAGCTAACTTCCAGTGATGATGGCCACTGTTCCTACAGCTAACTTCCAGTGATGATGGCCACCATCCCCACAGCTGACTTCCACTGATAGTTGCCATTATTGTTTTCTGTTAATTTGTTATTCCACACCTTATCACCTTACTGTACTAGTCACTGAAGTGTTTGGTCTGTTCATTATTTTATGACCTTCATTGTGCAGTGTTAGTAAAAGAGGAAACTACAGGAATACTGTACAGGGAGAAAACCAGCGATGTTTGGTGGTCACACTGGATAACATCCTTCTCACATGTGTCCTGGGGCAGGGATTGAACCCAGGATACAAAGCAAGGGGCACACACACACACACGTTAACCACCAACACCTAAGTTCAGAAAAAATGCAACTAATGAATGTTGTTACAGATTTATTTCAAACTTTGGTTGATTGGGAAAAAAAAGGTGCAATATTTACAAGTTCTATCTTAAATATAATGAGAAATTTACACTGTAGTGCTGATATCCCTTTGAGAAAATGTTGTGCATATATTAACATCTCTGAAGAAACTAACGAGGGATATTATGAACCAATAAACTGCCACCTTCACGGTCACTGTGGACGAGTCGATGCTTACACCAATTCATTTATTTAAAGAGTCAAAAACTTTGTAATTAGAACGACAATAACATTTTACCATACACTGTAATATACAAAATCTTATAAAAACATTTGCATAATCAGGAAGAACTCTCGTGTTAGTCTTCGGCCAACAACAATAAATAAAAAATTCCGGTAAATTCCATAGTAAAAAGACTTCATGGCGATTAAGTGTTTAAGATGTGATTTATAATGTGAATTTTCCATTGTAAAGTATAAAAAAAAATTTCCTTATTTCCAATTTGTATCTGCCGAGTTCTGTACGCGGTCACAACAAGAAGGCTCGTAACAGTACACGCAGACAGACAGACAGACACGACAATAATCTATATCCGTAATACCAGCGATGAAAACGAGATACCAAATGACATCAATCGTAACTCTAGTCTTTATGGATCACCTGATGATTAACCCCCAAATGCTCACCTGAAGATTAACCCCCAAGTGCTCACCTGAAGATTAACCCCCAAGTGCTCACCTGAAGATTAACCCCCAAGTGTTTACCTGAAGATTAACCCCCAAGCTGCTCACCTGAAGATTAACCCCCAATGCTAACCTGAAGATTAACCCCCAAGTGCTCACCTGAAGATTAACCCCCCTGAAGATTAACCCCAATGCTCACCTGAAGATTAACCTGCTCACCTGACCTGAAGATTAACCCCCAATGCCTGAAGATTAACCCCAAGTGCTCACCTGAAGATTAACCCCCAAGTGCTCACCTGAAGATTAACCCCCAAGTACCTGAAGATTAACCCCGAGTGTGTCATCCAAAGTTTCAACCCTGATCCATAGAGGATAAAATTGCGAATGATCTTGTTTATTGTCTCGACTAAATCATTATCCGATACACCTTAACAACACAAAATGAATACGTGAAAAAAATAATGATCATTGTAAAGTTAGTTTATAACACTCAATATACATTTTATGAACCAATCACGAAGCTGTTTACTCATCTCGAAAACATAAACAAACAAAATCAACACAACTCGTGACTACAGTACTTACGGAAGCACAAATCTCACTTGAAGACATTGCAGGTATTTTGTATAGGCTTATATGTTTCACGAAATATATATGTGTACAATAGCTCTTCATGAAATATATTTGTGTAGTAGTTCCATGAAATATATCTGTAGTCTCCATGAAATATATTTGTGTTTTAGCTTCATGAAATATATTTGTGTTTTCATACATTGTGACTCTTGCGGCTTCTGTTCCTTGTTGTGTAGAGTCTCTAAGTTGTCATAATAAAGACTCGCATCCAAATATCTTCAGAGTAGGAAACCTCATCAGCAATATTTTGACTATGACTACATCAAATTGATTCGTCAATACAACAAATGTAATATCGCGGAAGAAAAGCAACAGAGCATTCTATACCATAAGGAGATGTAAAGTGTTTTTCTATCGTGACTTTTCCAATTACGGGAACCGTCTAAAATCGCCTTTAAAATAATTACCAAAACATTTATCTATCGTGACATTCCCAGTTACAGGAATTGTCTTAAAATCATATTTGAATTGTCAAAATATTTCCCAATCGTATTTTTATTTCCAATTAAAATGACCATCCTTGAAAAAAATTACCAGAGGGTAGAGAAATACGCCGAATCACTACGTAAAGTAAACAAGCTCGAATATTATACACTGAACTACCTACCTAACGATCGCCAAGGTAATTCTCTCTCTCTCTATTGGTGTAATTAGGAAGACCAAATATATAAAAAGAATCGGCCAGTTAATGCAAGATGAAAATTATCATTAATATAAAAAAATAGATGGAAGAGTACAGTCAAAAAACCTACTCTAAGACACTCTACTCATCTTCTCTACATACTGACAGGATTCTCGCGTTGGTATTGGGTTAAAACTCCAGCACCCAACGTCATGGCATTCACAACCAGATAAATTAATTCTCTCAAATAATTTCTTTCAATTTATAATATCTTCCAGAATTTGTTTTTAATTCCTTCAATACGGGGACGCCATTTTTAACATTCTGTTCAGCTAATGTCAGATGATTTTATTCAGCTTGGATGCACACCATACATAAGGGGTCAATCTGCTGTATAGATGCCGTTTTTTTTTTAATGTGTGTCACCTTTCAAAAAATCTTCATTCCCGTGTTAATAAAAAATATAACTATTTATGTATTCTTAACAAAAGACTATTCTTGCTCTGCCATCTAACACACCACTATGTACAACCATATATAGATGACCTCAACACCACAATCTTCCATCTTCAAAAAAATAAAATAAAATAAGATCATCTATTTCATCAATTATACAAGTATCTACAGGGTGTCCCAAAAAATGCATAGTGTACCTTTATTTTTCTGAGACACCCTGTATCTATTCCACTTTCAAGAATCGCTCAGTTTCTCTTTTATCTTCCGTGTTTCTCCCGTCCCGCTCAGCGCTGTGAGGCGGAGGGAGATGTAGGGGACACCACCCACTGCATCACCGCCGTGTCCCGTCCGCCGGTAGTGATCAACCTTGAGTCGTCGTGGAGGAATCCAACAGACGTCACGTGGCTGCTGTGGCCGCCATACTCCAGACATCGAGCCTAAAGGATGGGAGAGATTAAGGATTCTCTTCTCTGCCTCAGAAGCATAAAAATAGAATACAAGGAACATCAAACATCCACTTTTGATGGCTGCCATCCCTACAGTTAACTTCCACGGGTGATGGCTGCCATGCCTAGAGCAACTTCCACTTAAATGCTCTACTGATGTTTCTTTTATATTCTAATTGAAATAACAGATAATCAAGAGTTAAAATAAAAGTTAATTACATCTGTTTCCATATAAACAACACATTAGCTGACTACATTAAACAACTCCAGCCCACTGTTACTCTTCACTAAATCAACAACTGGAAGATAACACGGCACTGTTTGCTGGACTTACCTTCTGGTGACAGGCCGGGCTGCTGAACAACTTCACCTTGCCGAAGTCGTCACCGGTTGCCAGCAGGCCAGTATTGTTGGCCTTGGCGCAGGTGTTGACGTCGGTACCGTCTGCACCTTCGGGCCAAATACCCAGCGTGGCAAAGGTGAGAGTACAGGTGTTGCTGGCCCACTCTACATCCCTCATCTGTGACGTCTGAACAATCTGGCGACACAGCCCTGCATTCCCTGTATGGAGAAAAGAATAACTTAAAAGACTATCACACAATTCTTCAAGTAACTATTGAAACAATCTACAGGTTAGTTTAGCTGTCACACGAGTCAAACAGTTTCTACAGTTATAAAACAAAACTGATCAAGTCATTCCTGTGAACTTACAGTAGAGCAGTTCATAATCTCCGGAGTTTGATTGAAGGAACTGACTATCAGCTGACCAATCCAAGTGAGTCACAAAACTGGCGTGACCCTGTGGGTGAAAAATATAATTACAAAATGGATCATAGAAAAAACCTATGATATGCCCAACATATTTAAAAATAATAATAATAATCATAAATGATTCCCACTCAATATCTTCTATATTTCTGATGCCTTTATTGCCCTCAGCACTTCATCTCAATCAGAATTTTTTCCCAACCTTCAGATAATAAATACACAACTCTACCAGCCAGACCATCGAGCCCTAAGAGTCACCACTTTCCTGCACTTATTATTTGGTGTTCACCCTTGCCAGCCTTCTCCTCTATAGTCAGGAATGGTTGACACAAAAGACAAACAGCCAGCAACATATAATATAATTAAAAAGCTTCCCAAGTGCTTCACAAACTTTTTACTTTAAATATCCAGTGCTTCACACACATGTGATTCATAAACAGTGCCTCAAACCACTTAATTATTTTCAGTTAATTTCTGAACACATCACTAAACTTCATTAATGTCTTCTCAAACATCTTGAGAATATAAAACCTGCACTTATTAACTATTGAAAAACAATACCCATATTTTATTACGGTATATAACAACAGGTATTCAAAATCTGAGTATTTATAGATGAATAAAAAAAAAATAAGCCCAGATTCTAATATAAAACCCTTTAAAATCTGGGTACAGTAATCTTTTTCAACAATCTTGTATTATTTATGATAACCTTCCATCTTCAATAAACGTTGGGGGTACAGGTCAGGCACCATTATATACCCCAACACACAAAGGCGAACCATAACATAAAGTGGACGAGTAACTAAGTATTCCGCTTACCACCGATGGCACAGTTTGGTATCTGGCTTTCCTTGTTTTAGCCTTAAGAGTGCATGGAAGAGAGGAACAAGGGGAGGCTGAGAGACATGGGTTAACATTATCATATATACATTACTCCAGCCTTAATGGTAATAGGTGGAAATAGATCAGAAATACATAGATTAATACTGAATTATGATGTATACGGTATCTCAATAAAATGTATACAAGCTCCCTTATAGATTTTCATGCGAATGTTTGTAGTACATCAGCAACATTATCCTCTTCATACATCAACAAGGGACGACAATGTTGGTTTTATAAATCAAACACTTATGTGATCTCTACCAAAATATATACATCAGTGTGTATATATATTTTTTGAGACACCCTGTATAGCCGCAACAGTGATAAAAACACGTCAATACTCATTAGCGAGAACCCTAAGACAACCTCGGTACAAGTGCCACGTAGGACAGATCTCAGAAGGAACGTGTTGTTGATTTATTTTAAAATTCGTTGAGTTTACAAACCATGAACTTCTCTATCACTAAATCCTTCCATGTAAACAAACTTGATCTATGATACATTGTTAAAAAAAAAATATCTCCGACCCTTGACATATTATGGCCCAATAGGATTTCATCTCATTACCTGGCATCTTCCAATCCTGGTGTACTTGCGGCAATCTTCGGAGACCTGGTAGACGTAGATGTTGTTGTCTCGAGAACCAACGGCGAGGTACTGGCCGTTTGGTGAAAACTTGAGAACCTGAGGAGGTAAATGAGAGATGAATGGGAGTATAAATCAAGCTACAACATCATTTATCATCACTATACCTGTGTGTTCAGATGCACAACACAGAATTCTACCCTTTATCAATGTTAAATAAAATCGTCTAGTGTTAGTCAAATAAAATATAATAAACATCGTCCCCCAAAGTCCTATTGAAAATATACTAATGGCCAAAAGTTCATCTCAACATAAATTCTATTCGAGTTAGTTAATGAATCAATCAGAAGTGTCCCCCTCATATCTGAAGGCTAGCGACTACAGTCCTACAATCTTAGGCTGTTTTAACCATTACACATTTCAACCTTCCCTCACCTGGATGGGCTCGTTACCATCTTGGTGTTGGGAGTACATCTCGCGAGTCTCGGCGTCCATGACGAACCATCGCCCGCTTGTGGTGCCAATTATTACAATCTCCCCGTTGCTGGAGAAGGCGGCAGACTGGGCGTGTTCCTGTAGTGATAATCGTAATAATATAATCCATGTTCACACTAGTCGTTCTTTAATGGAATGTAAAGACAATAAAATCATTGTTTAAACTCACTACCTATAAGTTTCATAGTGAGATATAAAAGTCATTTAATCAATTCTTGCACTTAACACCTACAAATTCTTTAATGAAAATATAAAGACAATAATTTCAATGCTGACACTCACTACCTGACTACCTACAAGTTCCATAATGAGATATATCACATAAGACTAATCTCTTCATTAAGACTCTACAGGGAAACTCTTCACACTGTACAGTAGATCTAAAGGAATCTACACTGTATATCATAAACTCCTCCTTGATAACTTACACCGATGTCTTTGCTCCACACAATGGTATGAGCCATAGTGTCCCACAGGTAGCAGATGCGGTCATACCCGGCCGTCAGGAACTGGTGGTGGCCGGGGTGTGGGGTCAACGCCCATAGCTCCTCCGTGTGTCCCTGTAACATAATGACAATGATGATAATAATAATAACAGTAACAATAATACTACTACTAATAATAAAAAGAGCAATATTAATGATAATACTGTACAGTAATAATAATACCTGTACTAATAAGAGTTTTATAAAGGTCTGCCTACCTGCCCTGGTGCTTGAAACACTGCGTCACTCACCTGCATGACGGGTCGCATCGGGAAAGTGAACGTTCCCTCCAAAACACAATTGCGGGTCGTTCCCACCACCAGCTGTGACCCGCGGCCGGACGTCACCACCCGAGGTGACCCGTACTGCTCAGGAACCTGTAAATAAACGATGACTTAATACATCTCGTCAATTACCACACAATATGACAAAAGTCTATGTCTCAATTGTTAATTACTGGCTAAGGTTTCACTACTACCCTCCCATATGCAATAAAAATGGAAGACTAAGGAATATAAAACTTCCACTGATGATGGCTGTCGTTTCTACAGCTAACTACCACCTATAATGGCCAACTATTAAGGGTTAAACAAATAAGCATCAAGGAGACTCACCTCAATTATGTTGCCAGTACGTTCCAACTCTCTGTCCCACTCAACAATGCGTCCGTCCTTGCCCCCGGTGATGATGGCTCCGTCCTTCTGCACAAAGATGGAGAACACCGGGCCGTCGTGGGCGCCCCGCACCATCTTGGACACTGTGTTGCCGCCTGTCACGTCAAGTAATAATCAAATAAGAAGAATCATTTCAGGACATTCATATAAAATAATATTATGAACGATACACTAAATGCTTCAATAAGACAGAACGTCCTCTTGAATACAACAGTCAAACATTCAGTCTTTTAAAAATTTCATGATCTGAATTCCAATGTTGTATTGTATATTCATTAACCCCCCCCCCCCAAACTTAGAAGGCTAAACAAGAAAAGTCTGACTATAAACAAAAACAACTCAGGAAACAATGAATCACAACGCCAACCTCTCTGCCAGATGAGAAGATTGCCGTTGGAGTCTCCAGAGATGACGTTGCCGGCGTCCGTGAAGGAGATGGACGTGACGTACTTGGGTCGCTCGCGGTTCTCGAAGATCCCCATACGCTTGGCCAGCATCCCGCTCTCGTAGCTCCAGAAGGAGATGTGGTTCTTGCCGCAGGTGATGATGGTGCTGCGGTCCACGGGCGAGAAGTCCACCGCCAGGACCTGGTCGGCTGAACACTGGTGATATGTGGTTGATTAAATACAAAGAACTTATCCATTGAACACTGGTGAAATACAGCATAGTTAATGCAGAGAATTTACTCATTGAACACTGATGAACTATAGTTAACATTTATACCACAATGACACTAACAATATTATTTCATATCATAATTACCTGTACGTATATAATCTGGTTATAAAATGAATCTAAGCAAACTGAAAGTTCTGTCAGTGAGTGAGTGAGTAAGTCAGGGTTTGCATTCATATAGCTACCAGAAGCAACTCATTACTAAAAAAAGAGAGAGTATCGTTCTAGGACAAACCTTAGTCTCCAGCATCTTGTAGCCTCGTTCACCCCGCGACCAGTCCCACACCGACATGTTGTGGTCGGGAGCTTCATCGACAGCCACCAATAGACTTCCTCCGTCCTGGAAAACGAGACCAATCATTATCCACCTCCATGACTTAATCCCTTCAGGCCTTATTCTGTCAGTATCTTGTGAGGTGCCCCTCCCCCCCCCCAGTACTGTGATTGACTGGAAGTTATCATCCGCAATCATCCTATCAACTGAGTCTTTGATGATTGATTATATAGGTTCAGTGAGCTCTACACATTATAGGTAGTGGTTATATAATATGTCTGCCTATCAGTAAAACAGCTAACTTCCAATGATTATGGCAGCCATTTAAAGGTTAAACATTGTACAGCCATTACAGTATAAAGAATACATCATCTACTTACAGCCTTGGAGAAAGCCAGACACGCAACAGAGCGCTCAATATCGCTGATTCCAATAATGTGGAGGGTGTTGAGGCTGACGCTGTCCCAGACCCGGATGTGAGGCTGGAGGGAGTGGGAGACGTCACAATATTAGCTATAAATCCCTAAGTAACACACAGTTGCAATAAGAGCTGCAACTCACACACAAAATACTGTAATTATTAAGATGTTTCTCAGTTACAATTAAGTAAAAAATTGGCTGGAATTCTCATAAGATTTTTGTTTATGCTGAAATTATCAAGATTTTATTTCTCTCATTAATAAAAACAGTTTTAATTCATAAAACCAATTATCTTTCAATATTATATAAACTGTCTTGGGTGTCTCAAATCATCACTAGTTCTGAAAATTAACAAAATCTTACAGAAAATTGACAGAGAGAGAGAGATTAATATTAATATGGATTAAAATTAGCATTGTCAGTATTTAAGATGATTAACGTCTATGGCTAAAAGTGAATAATTATTAAAACAGAGAGAAAGATCTTGTCACTACATGGAAGCTTTATAAAAAAAAAATAATAATGAGGAAATTAAAAACACTGCATAGATGTCCCGTTCCCAAAAGAAGCTTAACTAGACGAAATAAAAAGAGTCTAGGAAAAAGTTCTTGGCACTCAGGAGGAAAATAAATCACAGGTTCACGACACACAGAAGCTAACACCACCACCACAACCCTAAGAGATCAACAGCAATTATAACACACAAAAGCTAACACAACCTTGAAACAACACCTCCATCACAACACACTAAAAGCAAAAAGTGAAAAAAGAATCAACTGCAGTTTTGACATGTTATTTGTGCCAATTTTTATCCTTACACAGGCAGAGAATCCCAACTCAAATATAAAAACAGTGTGTGTGGCTTTAAAACACACATCTGTATTGTTATCAGGAAATGGCAGCATGATGTAGTTGGGGTCTGGCTACAAGATAATGATATCCCCACAATCACACAAAGGAAAAAAAAAACACCTCTAAATCCTTCTATATAAAGAACACAAACCTGGGAACTATATGAGCTAGAATAGTCAAGTAACCCAGACCAAACCAAGTATTTTCTTAAGAGATATTCTAGAAATATTCCAATAAATAGCTAACAAAACCAAATTCTATCCGGCACCAAAATACAGGTACTGTACTATAATCACCGACAGACAACAGCTCACAGCCACCGACATAACAACCGCTACAGATACAGTATATAGAATCTAAATTACATAATACAGTATCAAACATAAATAAGGAATCCTGTAACTCCCCAAACACCCCCCAGGCACACATCACCAATGGCAATAACTAATTTTCCTCGAGAAAATATACACATATTCCTCATGATATTCCAAAGTCAACGAAGGTAAAATAATAGACTTAATCTTTCAGAAAATTCATGAACCGAATCACTCTACAAAAGTCCTTCTGATTCCTGAAATAATTATTAAGGTGATGAATGAATCCTTCCACAGAAACTCAACACAGCCTGAGAGCCAAGTATTCACAGTTCATAGGAACCTTGCTAGTTGGTGGGTGATTGATATATGGGCTAAAATCCACCTATTTTGGGCGTCCTTAGTGACCATCATAACCTGGAGCATTAATGGTAGTTAGGGAAGTTTTGCCGTTACTTAACAACCAGACATTAACCGACTACGAGTTATGACAGTTACTAAGGCCATAAAAACAATGGGGGAAGATGGGCAAGTTTAGTCCTTATGTCAATTACAGCTAACTCGTACACATTATCCCTTCCTGCCTCTCACTACAACAACAAAACCAAACACCCGTCCTGTTGTGTTAATCCATAAAAACTTGCCGTTTACTACAACAAAACATCAACTCTTGAACACGTATACAACACATGAACTATTCTCTATTATATACTTTCCACTACGAAGACCACTGAAAAAGGTCGTCAGTGTGAGCATGCAGCACAACACAGCCGTGAGCAAGGTGGGTAAACAAACCTGAACTCTCGGAAACAGCGTCTCATCTCGCCAGAGAGACAAAGTCTGTGCGACACTTCATTTCAAAAGTAAAAAAAAAAAAATACCCAAAACATTAATACAAAAAAGCCTAAACAAAAATTCCTATATAAAAGTACACAAACTGTATACAAGCCTCTAAAAATGTTTCATACAAGATGAAATAAAAAAAGACTGAAAATGAACAGACAAGCATGCTGATAATGACAATAAGTAATACAGTTTGGGGGGATGGAGGTAATAATCCATTAAATTACCGCGAGCATCCTTATCTAGGGGACCGCCAAGTGAGAACAGGAGGTTGTTAATCATCACAGCATCTCATAATAACTCTTGCATCATCCACAGACTAAATACACCATTTAATCTCTTGCTTTTATGATATTTAATTCCTACATCATAACATTCTTTTATCATTCATTTATGCACCATCAATGCAATAGTAGTTTTAGGTGTTAATGAGCTTGTCAGTTTGTGTAGAAAGTTGCCATGCAGAACGAGCCGAGTTTTGTCTTTGAAATATGAATCTGTGTTGGATGGCTGAATGGTGCGAGTCTTTACGTCAAGGAGTTGCTTGTATAGACCAGTGATGTGGGTCTTGGCCTTGAACTTATTGGTCTCAGCTTCGAACTTAGCCATCTCGGCCTTGATCTTAACCACCTCGGCCTTGAACTTAGTCATCTCGGCCTCAACAACAACAGAAGTACAGTACACCCCGACCACTCGACCAGATTCATGATCCAAACACAAACTTGATCTTCCAGAAGTAATGAGGTTTTTTGATGTAGTGATTATATCATGTACCATCACCTGCACTTATACCTGGTACTGTGGCTGATATGTTTTGTGAGATGTAGCAACTCTGTGTTTGCGTACATCATTAAGGATTACTAGATAAGCATTCCACAGCATTGCCACATCTCATCAAATGCACCAGCCACTGTATCAGGTATAAATGCAGGCGACTGTACCATGAGGGAGGAGGAGAGGAGGTAGACCATGTTTATAAGAATTAAAACACGAGAGAGAGAAAAAAGGGAGAAAGAGAAAGTGTTGATTAATGTTCTGTAACTATCATTAGTATTTATTCTGAGTGGATGTTCTTGGTTTCCCTGAGCCTGTGTACTTAATGAACAGAGGGTCTTTGAAGTTGTATTTCTTTCTCAAAAATTACACTCGGCAATAACTGTAACAATGGACTGCTGGATCATATTTACTGTATCTCTGTAATAACTCAAGTACAGAATATATATAACTGTATTTTAAAAGGTAAGAATCTCATTCTGAATACTGACTGCAAAGGGTAATTATTATTATTTACAACATCAATACTTATACAAACTTGTGATGAATAAGGTATATACAGTATACAGTATATATTACTTATATATACTGTATACAGCATACATGGATATAACTTTAAATGGTGTGTAAGTATAGCATAAAATACACAAAAAGCTTCCACTCAAGTATGCAGTCACATCCAGGGTATTAAATCCACAGGACCTGAAGGAGCCGATCATCACTCATCTCAGGGAAAGACAAAATAACCTCATTAGGTCTTCGTTTATTACGTGCGCACATCACTACAGCTCTAACACCATCTAATGTTAGCTGCTACACACTAGAGATCCGTATAGGTCCAGACCAACTGGTTATAGGGTGCGGTAGCAGCTACATTATGATCCGGTGGTGCGGCAGCGGCATAAGACACTCCTGGCGTTAGTGCCGAGACAGTGAGCAGTACCCAAGAAGCAGCGGTGGAAGACGTGAGCAAAAGGAGACAGTGTTGGAGCATCGCTGGGTTAATATTTACCACAGTGACCCCGACGGAGATTATCACCGTTACGTACGATGCCGCCGTATAGGTCGTGCCCGGGTACAGTACAGTGTACTATACGAGGCATCGTACATAATGTGGTAAACTTCCTTCATGAACCAAAGTACATGATCCACATAGACATAAAAGATTGTTATAAAATTTGTCTTTATTTTCCGTCCAAAACAAAAAATGTGTTTAACTGTCTTACTTCAGACTTGCTTCATCATGATCTAAATTCATGATACATAAACAAATTATTTAACTTTATTCAGTATTTCTTACATGGATATACAAGTGTGTGTACTGTATACTGTATACATGTATCAACAATTTAAAAAATGATATAATTTGGACTTGAACCCCGAAAGACTAAATATTTACCTCATAAATATGCTGATACGACAAAACAAGTAAGTAATGCATTAGAGATATATTATAAAGCATTGCAAATTCCATAGAGCATTATTATTACAGTACTATTATAATTATTATTTTACAAGATCACTACAGTTTCAACTTCAATCATAAAAAATTCTCGATTGAATGAACATATTTAGTGATTTTTATCAACAATGTCACCAAGACAGTAAAATAATGTGTAAAATTTCTACGAGTCATTTAATACTCCTCTGCACAGACGCCTACACCACAATGTCTGACATCAGTTCATTTACAAATATCATTTACAAATAACACAGGTATTTATACAGAATTTTAACTATTTCTGTTATGTTTATCACAAATACAAAACAATTATGTCTCGGTGCAGAACATGACTTTAGACCAACTCGCCAGGTCAGGGTCGGGGGGGGAGGGGGACTGTGACGTACGTACCCACTCCTCGGCCTCGGGGCTCAAGTGGTCCGCTGGAGGGTTGAGCCGCCATGACTGCTCACCGGCAACATCACGAGGGACACAGACAATTATTGGAAAGATTGTGCCAAGGAAGAAATGATCTATATGCAAGAACTGGCAACTTCCACCCACCTCACAGTGATAACGAAACGGTTTATTTACCCAGAGAAATAAAGATACAACGCGAACAACTACAACAATGATCTAATGAGCGTCAGGGTACTTGTGTACATAGACAACCGTTATAACTTTGATCTACGGAAATCAACAGTAAATATAAATGATTTTGCCGACAGGGAGTAAATAAATAACAATATAAAGTACTGTACTGAGGACTAAAACATGATTAGAAAAGTGAAACCTCTCTTTAACGGACTACTGTAGACGTAAGAGGTTAAACCACTAGATCAAAGTCCATTATATCGAGGTTTCACTCTAATATCAAACTCGATACACAATAATTAAATACCGAGAGAATTTAATCAACTTGTATTTAAAGTGAATGCTCCCGGGACGCTCAAAACCTAATTAAAATGATCATTAATTCCTTTACTACTATATGAGTCACTGTCACTCTCTCACTGTTCACTATATAATCACTGTGGGTTCTTCATGGGTGAGGTCGCTGCTGTTCCGTCTTGCAATTTGGAGCCACGAGTGTTCCTTGGCACAACTTTCTCCGAGTAAGAGAAGCTGTAATTTGTTCACACTGGTGTGTATGTCTGTCTTAAAACTCTCACCATACACTTCTGATTAGTCAAATGTCTTAAATAAACAGTTAACTGAATCATCAACTGACTGATAAAACAGTTAACTGAATCACCAACTCATTAATAAATTAAATCTACCTGGATGGTCCCAATTAGTCAGTCACTCATAAGACAAACTGTGAATCCTGTGCAGCTGTAAAACCAAACCTCTGGTCTCTTCTTCAGTAATTTAGTAAGTCAGAACTCACAACACACTCCTGTCTTGATGGGATTTTACACACTAACAAAAGCGCTGATGCTGTTATATAAAAAAAACCTGGGATTGTGTTTTTGTAGTTTATAAGGGTGATACACTATATATATAGAGGGTATTTGTCACAGTGGGGAATAATTTATGTGGTTGTTGTATATGACACTATGGTATAAGGATATAATTTATACTTAATCACATTACAGAATAGGCTTAAAAATTAATCTATACATTTTATATTCACTTAATTGGATATGTTTTGTTGTTTTAATACACTGATTGGGTCTGTTAATTTGACTTTTATATGGCAAATCCTATAGAATGCCAAACATCTCTATCAGAAATTCCTCTCACACACACACACAAAGAGCTGTTCACTAAAAACACAAACAACACATACACACAAATCTAAAACCTGGTACAATAAGGTCTATTCTCGCTGGATAGGTCTTGTTCCCCTGGTTCTTAGCATTCAGCAGCTATTGGGTCACTCCATCACCTTGACAGGCTGCTCGTCCACCCAACAGTTGTTCCACCCATTGGCAAGTGTAAAAGGCCAACTACACAATATGGGATCCCAATTACATTTAATCTACACTCCTAGTATTCAAATCTTTATCTGATTTCCTACTATCATTCTTTCACTAATCATTAACCCCTTATGTATGGACTCCACTCCGAGATTACTTTTTTCTTCTTTTCTAAGTCTATCTATATCTACATTTGCTAAACCCATTTCATTCTCTTTAATTTCCTTTACTCTTCTTTCATCTTGGATTCATTTAGATTTCATTATTGCCAGGAGGTGAATATAACAGTCCTGTACTTGACCCATATCAGCCAACACTATTACTGTACCACAAACCTAGAAATACACCCGGCACATACCCTGGCATCTCGGCGGTCGTGTCCGGCGGTCTGGCCAGTGGCGATGAGCAGCTTGTTGGGGTGGACGGCCAGGCTGAGGGAGACAACACACTCATGATGCACGGAAACAATATTTATCAGACAAAAGACACCACGGTACCAGACACCACGGTACCAGACACCACGGTACCAGACACCACGGTACCATAAAGTAATTGTTGTTGTATAAAATATATTCAAACAATAATAATATACCAGTATTACTAATTTACAACATTACAAGCAATCATTTATAACTGTTTTATATTGTATTATAAAAACCAATCATTTATAACTGATTTATAACATTACAACCAATCATTTATAACTGTTTTATATTGTATTATAAAAACCAATCATTTATAACTGATTTACAACATTACAACCAATCAAATAATATTCACTCATACCATTACAACCAACCCTGCCAAACCCCAGGTGCAAAAACAACACACAGTGACAACAACGATAACAACCAACCTTTTAATATCATCGGTGTGACCAAGATAGTGCCGCTGCATCTGGTCCTCGACGTTGTAGAGGACCACGACGGCTGCCACGAAGTAAACGATCTCTCCCGTCGGCAGTTGGTACACATTGTTGCGGCAATCTCGTCCCCTGTTGACCGGAGATAAAATAAGACGGTCGATTTATCATACATTTTTTCTGATTTTCTGGAGAATGGACGACACAGGAGAATAAATCGAGTAATAATATTGATTTATGATATTGGAGGACGTTGAGAAGCTGGCTTAGTTATACATATACAGAGCCTTCGTCCAGAATGTATCTATGAAGAGATTTTAAATGCCGAGTTCACATAGAATCAATGTTTTAAAGTAGATGTTAAAAACACTTGGAATTTTACCACACCGTACCCACCTGTAGCCGTAGACCCATTCCAGCTTGAGCTTAGCGGGAGGGTGTGAGGTGGAGGCGGTCGGCGAGTACGTCTCCTGCAGGGCGGTGGGGACGTACAGGTTGAGTGGACGTCCGCGTAGGTACAGCTTCACTACACCTTCATCGGGGTTGTACTGTGCTTCACGGGCTCTGAGGAAGATGAGGATAATATTACCTCACGATTATCAACCTTTTAGAACGCTTATACTATTTTTACCGTGCGATAAATCTTTGCAAAAAACACAAACGCTTTTTAGTTCATAAACACTCATTAGAAGTTATTGTTAAAGAAAACATTAGTAAATCAATCTATAATTATCTAAAGAAGCTACAGATTTGAAGAGAAAATACTATACTACTTTAAGAAGAAATTTCCTAATTATGAATAGTGAATAACCCCAAACTCCAATGAATAGAAGATGAATAATTGAAACAGAATTTTTCCACCATTAATTCATAACGAAGCAGAGAAGAACAATTAATAACACATTGAGAATTTTTTTAGAAAATACTCCTATAAATGGATCTTTATGCCTGTGAAGTTATCCAAATACTGAATGGATCCCTATGACTGTGAAATTACATAAAATTGTAAAGACATATATATTAAATAATAACAAAGACATATATATTAAATAATAACAAAGACATGAGATAATGAAACTAAGATTAATAAAATATCTATTGATTTTCATATGAACTTCAGTGGATGACTTTGATGATATTGACTAATTCACTTATTGAAATGATCTATGATAGAAATGTAGTGATTATTAGTACTGTGTGTGTGTGTGTGTAAGACTTCATTTATGTGTTATCTACATTTGTGTGAGTTTATCTTTGTATATATGTATGTATGTATGTATGTATGTATGTATGTGTGTGTGTGTGTGTATTAGTTGAGAACATGAATAATTATGGAGATGAGGAGAGAGACAGGCAAGGAGAGAGACAGTAAGATGAGGTAACACAGAGACGAGAAGAATGAGAAAGAGAGAAAACGGGAAGAAACTGCCGTGAAGACTGAGAAGTGAAGAGGGGGAGGTGGAGGTGGGGTTACCCGTGCCTGCCGAGGTTCAGCTGAGAGGTGGCGCTCCTGAGGGTGGTGAGGTTGTGCAGGGAGCCGCTGTTGGGTCGTCTGCAAGGCAACAGAGACGACCAGGCTGGGTTAGGGGGGGCAACAGCAGGGAGGAGCCAGACAGCAGCAGCAGCCACAGAGCAACACGGAACAGCAACAGAATCAAACGGAGTAACAGACGGCAACAGAACAGCCAGACAGCAAAACGGGTGACAAACAGTAAAAATCAGCAAAACGGGTGACAAAACAGCAAAACGGGAAACAGACAGCAACAGGAGTGGTGAAAGATGGTGGAGAATTATTTTTTATGACTAAGGAAGGTTCAGGGGGCAGAAGCAATTCACGCACGACAAGCAGTCATTTCGAAGCTCCAGATGGTCATGTTGGAGCATCGACTATACATAAATCACTTATATACTACACTCACAATAAACCAATAGATAGGGAGGGTAGGGCCAAGGAAGTATTGGAATCCTTGGGTAGGCCTAACAGGAAGGAGTGGAGACGAAAAAAGCATCGGACACAAAGAATTCGAGACATCTGAAGCAAATAATTCATTCAATGAGACTAATAACAAAAGCTCGAAATGTGAAGTCTTCGAAGCATATGAAGCAAATACTGCATTCAAAAGGTCTTATAGCAACACAAGCATCAATGAGCCGAAGCATCTGAAGCAAACAAAATGTTCAAAAAAGCTTCTTTCGACCACTAACTACATAATATTAACCTATTTCGAACATTAAAAAAAACTACCAAATTACTACAAGAAAAAAAAGTCGAAAACTTTACCATAAACATAAAATAATACTAATATTTATAAATATATTTATCGAAAATATGAAACGATACGAATTAGTCAGTCATTTTCTTATTATTTTCCTTTAAAAAAAACCAACAGTGTCAAGCGAGAAAATATTCCCCTATCCCAACAAAGATATTTTCAAATTATTTTTCCTCTATCTTCCAATAACAAAATAACAAGAAGCCTAAATTAAGTTACTAGATTAAACATGCACATACAATCATGCACGTTCATCATGCAAAATCAAGTAGACGGTTTACAGTACATACGCAAGATCCAATTTATAAAACGCTTTCATTACATTATTAACATGCTATGTTCATTTTCCATTTGTTTTTTTGCTAAGGTCATTCATGTCGTTAATCAAATTAAGATGATGATGATAATAATAAACCGCTCCAGAGGATACGATAATAATTAAAAACCATTTAAAACACATACATGAAACTGTATAAGTTTGTGTGTTTTAGGGAGGGAATGGTCGTGAACGTGGTACAAGAAGCCGTGGCGTGGTACAACAAGCCGTGACCGTGATAGTGAGCCGTGCGTCGAATAACGAGAGGGGGGAGGTGTAAAAAAACGTGAACTTCCTCTGGACTGTCGCTCAAGCATACAGTTTCAAGGACACGGGCGTGAAGCAGGTGAATTCACGGACATGTGTTAACAGACGACTTCAGAATCATGAACAGGAGAGGATAAGATGTCAAAGGAATTTTAAAAACCTGTAAACTTTCAAAATCTAAGCCAGAATTTTTAAAAACTCAAAATATTCCCTCAGAAAACCGAATGCGTATGTTAAAATATTATCAAAGATTCAAATGCATTTTTATATTATTAATAAATCTAAAATGTCGAGTAGTGAGTTTCAATTTATTACCGACAACTAAAGCATTTCCTGTGTTCGTCATTATATGCTAATAATTACAGTTTTTAACCCACCCGCACGGGGTTAATCCAACAATACTAGACACTGGATAACCCCAATATCTAATTATTTACAGGAAATTGTTATGGTGTGGAGTCGTATTGTATGTCAAAGGGCAAGAGAGAGTTAATATATAAAAAGCATTTGTTTGTTCTAGAGAGACAGGGGGGGGATGTGTTTAGGCTGTGACGTTCGTATGTCACATGGCAGTGGCGAGTGTTATATGAAACTGCGGCAGTGTGTGTGTGTATGTACATAACTACAGTGTGTATGTGTACATGACTGCGGTGTGTGTGCGTGTTTGTTTTACTCCTGTGGTTCACCTGTAACACCATCAAGTGAGTCAGCTCAACAGGTTCTCAAGTCACGTAACCACTTGAGACTTGACTGGCTTTACACCGTCCATGAGTCCACCACATTGTCTAAAGGCGACATCTACCAACCTCTAACCTAACCACTAATCACTCTACCCAAGTTACAATTATAGTTACTTTAATCACTCATTCACTTAATCAATAGACCTAGAAACATTATATACTATTAGGCTATGGGCATTAATCTGACCATTCGTTCATAATATTTGGAGTTCAATTTTGATATCAATGTTTAATTTACGTCTACATATTCAAGATTCTCAGACACGTTATCAAAAAGTGGTAAAAACTTCAAAAAATCAATAAAATTATACCTCATTATCAATCTTGTAAGGAGAAATCAAGTTACCTATCGTCAAAACTTAAAAAATAGAATAAATTATACTTTTATCAATCTCGCAAAGTATTATGTTGCGTCAAAACTTCAAAAATAAAATAAATTATGCCTCTATCAATCGGTACACAGATATCAAGTTCCCAAACGACAAAAATTAGACCCAAAAATACAATTCCGATTTCCTTGTGTATCTAGACAGGATGTAGCACCACGCTCTACTGAACGCTGGCGAAACAATGGTGTACAAGTCTCTGTTGAAACCATTGTAAATTTCACGGTTTTTATTCTTTTATTGCGACTGTTATACTTTATTGACTACAGATAATTTTTACTGACTGACTGAATAGAGAACTTTTTAGTGACTTGACTTACTGACGTTTTAAATACCATCTACAGGAGGTTTTCATTGCCTAACTCTTTCTACAGTAGTCTTCGAGTCTTTAAAACACCTACATGGAATTCTCAGGGCTGTTTGTCGTGTGTGTGTGGAAGAGAGAGCGTACTGTAACGCGGTTTCCCAGCCATTAAATAAAATGTCTAAGCAACAAGGTCAACTTAGCTCTCATTTCGTGTCCCTGAAAAAATTATATTTATATATATATATATAATATATATATATATATATATATATATATATATATATATATATATACACACACACACGAGTATTTTACGCTTTAAAGTTACGGAGGAAGTGACTGGGTGAGTTCACAAACTTATATAACTGTACCGTATGTATTACTAGGTGATAGGTCAATACTGTATGCACAAACTTTAAAAAACTTCAAACACAACTCAGCTACAGAGCTAAATATACTAGGAGTAACTTCTCCCCAGATCCTACCAGCTTGTGAGTCACTGGTAATTTAGGAACACGTGAACAGTTTTATTATCTAGAGCAAGCAAGTGGAGTGAGTGACCCCCAAAGTTGAGAGTTCGTAAGGCAAACAAGCTTTGGGCAGGCAGCTGTCTTGATGATGAACAATATCTGTGAATAATTCTGTAGTAGATGTCAAAATGAATAGTTCTGGGATAGTAGTTTGGTGAACAGTGTTTATGAACAATTCAGGGGTATTATGCAGGGTGAACGGCTTCTATAAACAATTCGGGGGAAGTAAGCAAGATGAACAGTGCTTATAAACAATTTTGGGGCAGCAGTCTGGGTGAACATTGCATAAGAACAATCCCAGAGCAATGCTAAAATGAACAAAACCTCAGTTCAATTCTAGCAAGGCTGAACAGCGCCAATGAACAAATCTGGGACAGCTGTGAACAAAATCCACGAACCAGGGGAAACAAAAGCAAATACAAAACCGAAAGAAAGACAGAACATAAAAGGAAACAAGACAACGAAAAGAGAATCAAAATAAAAACAAAAATACGTAACATAGGAAAGAAAATTTATTTGATCACCATACCAATTCTCTATATATTTACCTTGAACTAGCCATGATTGAAGACTATATGATGTACTTGTAGATGTCTTATAGAAAGCTGTGTTTTAACTTCTGGTGTTTGCGTGTCCGAGTGTTTGGTCTAAGTCAAACACAAACACACACGAGAAGATATCAACAGGTCCTTCTTCAACAGACACAGTTTATCCACTTTGCTGTCAATTTTGTCTAGTTTTCTCAATATTTTTTCTTTTTTCAATGTTCGTCAATAACACTTTGTTCTATCTGTGAGTTTGGGGAATATAGGGGATTGTTTTAACTTAAATTCGCTGTAAAATTAACTTCGACTATTATATTGTGTTTTTGTCTAAATTGTTCGTCATTGGAAACTAGATACGATTTTTTCTTTAAATTGTAAGGAAAATAGACTAGAGAAAGTATATTAAGATTAATATTTCACTAAAAGCAAACTTATATCAAGGAATTTAATAATAACATTAAAAGGCATAGAACAAAAATCGTTCTGAAATTACACTATATTACAATTACTTAAACTGATTTGATAAGTAAAGGTCATTATTTAACTACAAAAAAGTAATACTAAGTGACGATTATTTCGATGTACTAAATACTTAACGAATTACGGTCATGCTTCAAAACATTCATTATTACTAGTAATGAATGTTTTGAAGCATAGCACAAGAGGCAAGACTCGGTGTTGACAGGTCGAACAAAACACCATTTTCGATTCCTCATTTAAACACAAACTTATGGGCTAATACTCTAATAACATTCTGTAGTTAAATGAAAGATGAATAAAATACAAATCGCTGGTATATGTGACATTAATACTGTAACTAGGGGGAAAATAGCGGGGAAAGTGCAGTGGTAAGTTTACCCAGATTTCCATCGCTAGATAAGCGGCCATGCTCTTACAGTGAGTCACCTCAACACATGTTTTCCCCATTTTAAAGACAATACAACTAATTATCCAGGTAAACCATCCACTATACACACGGAGGAAGGGATTACGCAGTTCACTTGCTGGTTATTGATAAGTGGTAGTGTAGTATAAGGCGGTAATTCACTAAAATGTTGAACACTGTGTATGACCGACAGACTTGCCACAACGACGGTCTGTGAGTCACTAAGCCGGGACCGACTGGCTGCTCCGACTGGCTGCTTCTGCTGTGTCCACGACCATGGATCACGTGACCTTGTGTGTGTG